ATTATCGATTTTTTTCGGAACCTGATTCCGAACTCAAAAATCGGGCTCCGTCATGTCCTTACGGCAGCCATTTACAAACTTGTGTTGAAAACCACATCGAAATCGGGTGAGAAATGTGGCCTGGGTGAGGTAACAACGCCCACGACAGACAACATGAGAAATATAGATAGTAGATATTTAAAAAGGAAAGGAAAAAGTTGTTTGAATTGGTTCCAAAAAACACATCGCATCCCTCCAAGAATTGGACTAAAATACATTATATAGCCCTTAATTATACTGATAGATTAATGATAGTATTAGCCGTTTCCTTATAAGGAAAGATTCAGCAGTCATTGACTGAGTCGTCAGTACTATTTCCAGTTCAAATTTATAAAATCTTTATATAATTTTTGAGAAAAATAGGTTTCTCAAATCTAATGGCTGTTATTGCCCTTTCCAGTATTGATTGCAGTTTTCTTCTTAACCTTTTGTTTGAAGTAGTGTGGAACATCAACATCTTGATTATGTTATTTTCTTTTTCAATTACATGTAATATCCATTTTATTTGTTCTTGTAGGCTGATCTGGTTGTTTTTAAGGGCATATCAACACCTCTATGGGTTATTTGATGCCAAAGGATTCAATTAAATACATTTTAATGGTAATTAGATGCCTTCAACTACAGATAAACATTCTGAATTCATTGACCGAGCAGCCAGTGCTTATGTAACAAATGAATGAGTGAACGTTTGACGAGGCAAACGTCATGGCAGTGCACGTGCGCGACCAGACTGGGAGTAAGGCCCGTATTCATTTGCATAAGCGTATGCCTCACTGACATAAAAGCTGAGAGTTTGTGAGGATAGGGGGGTGCCGAGTTGTGCAAAAGATACACGTGTTGTTTTGTTTTGGTGTCGACTGTGGCGTAAGACTGAGCAGAAGACAAAGACTTTAGTAATTTTTGCTACAGACTGATTACACTGTTGTTGGTTGAAATTTATAAAATCTTTCTCTCAAAACAATTTGTTTTTATGGAAATAGGTTTCTGAAGTCGAAAAGCTGTTATTGCGGTTTCCTTCTTAATCATTTGTTCAAAGCAGTGTGGAACATCAACATCTTGATTATGTCATTTTCTCTTCAAGTTACATGTGCTATCCATTTTATTTGTTGCTGCTTTTGAAAGTCCTAAAGTGATATGGCCTCTGTTATTTTGTAGTTCTTTCTTTGTGATTCTGCAGCATCAGTCCACAAGGTTCGGAGAGGTAGGGTCTTCACCAAGCCTTATAGGCTTCTTTTGCTCTCAGCCATTTTTAACCATTGATCTTAGTAAGTGGTTGTATACAATTGACAGTTTAGATATTTCTGAATGGATTTGCTGTCATGAATATGAGTCTTGATCTGACAAGGTTATTTAAGAACATTTGTTTTCAGGTTTATCTTTTGGCTTTGTAGCAATTTACAGTGTTGTGTGACACTACCTCGAGCACAACCTATTCAATTTCCTTATCTCCTATATGAAATTTCTTGTAACTGATGCATAATGGATGATCCAAATTGAGAAGTTAATGCTCTCAGCAGAAACAAGTGAAGACTTAGTATCCAGAAATGTGAAGATTTTCTAACAATATGTAATTCCACAGGCCGATAACATAAAAAAATCACCTTCGTAATAAATCGACTACGGTGACATTCAAACCTGGCACTTTTAGAAAGTGCCTGAAAACCATGCCACAGCTTGACCCAAACCTTGTAAGTGAAATTGGGTAGACAGAACTCCTGATGGCCATCAATAGCTGTACTAACACAAAACCACAAGTCATCGTGGCCAAGGGCCTGAGTGTGCTGGGCCTTGATCAAATTGTTGATAACACGCTCTTTCCCAGAAACTGTAACTAAGGTCTGCTCAGCATAGTTGCAGTATAAGCCACAGGTGGCCTCCGTGGGTGTTGAGCAAACACAAAATGTGCCTGCAGTAGGGATTAGCTAGCTGCCCTAGTACATGGGTATTCTCAAATAGGTGTGGCCAGCTATTATTATTGTGTGTGTGTGTGTACACACACAATGTTAAGGAATCAGTTTTAATGTACTTTTGCCCAACCTACATACTTTTTTAACACTATTTACATGTGCCCACATTTTTATGTTTCAACAGATTGGATCTTTTACAAGACATGATCTTTGTAAGTACAGACATTAAATCATTCTGTAAAAGTTTGACAAGTTATAATTTATATTGTTTATATCCAGACTATTGTCCTCATATTTTTTGTTGTTGTTACCACATTTCGGCTGTTGTACCCTCCGGCCTTCATCAGGTGCATGTTGATCCAGATAACCTACATGGAATTCCACACTGAAATTCTCACTTCAAATCTAAAGAAGCTGTCCTAATTTTGTTTGTTGAATTTTGTGATGACACGATGTAAAGATTTTTAAAGTCTACTGGAAGGAATATGTGTGCAAGTAAGACTCAAGGGTACACTGGCCAAAAACTTAAGTTTGCTTTTTATTGCAACACTACACTTGTGTTTACCTGAGTAAACCGTGCAGAGACTGTCATTATCCTTGAGAACCTGCCTTTCAATAGCAGCTGCCTTATTGATTAGGCTACACAAGACCAACTGGTTAAAATAAGACAAATCTTACAACATACAAGAATAAGGAATAAAAGGCTAATACCTGATATGATGTCGTATTTGTTTAGAGTAGTATTAATTGTAAGGTAGATTCAAATTTCTTACATGAAGCATTATCATTATTCTCTTTTATTAATATTTCATATTCGTTTGAGTTGATTTATTAATCACAATTCTCTGATCATCGTTTCACGGCTATTGGACACAGATTGGAAATAAAGGACAAACTTCTGGCAAGATTTGAACCTGGATCCCTTATACTCAGAGGCTGCATTTTTTTTTTTAAACTAGCCTATGAAGGAAGCCCCAGTCAAATAGAAATTAGTTCATATAGACCTTATTCTTTATTTTATCCTGACTGCCTGATTTGCCATTTGCTTTAATACATTACATGTATTCACTATAACATTATTTAAATTTCTTAAATGAAACTTCTACAATATTATTCTGCTATGGACAATGTCATTAAAATGTTGCTGATGCCTTTCAAGGGCAAAAATTGATGCAAATTTATAAATTAAAACACATGCAGTCGTAATTATAAAAAAAAAAAGTGCGCGTGTGTGTGTGTGTGAGGGGGGGGGGTAACAAATAAGTCAATATCAACATTTTAGGGCTGTAATTATTTAGGTACAAAGCACTCAATTTATTTAATTTAATTCAACATGGTCTTAAATCTTTTATTTGGCATAATCTATCTTTGTATACGATCTCTGTATATATTTTTGGAGCAAACTTGAAAGAAAAAAAACAAAAAAAAACACACACTCTTCTTAAAAGATTTCTTCATATAGAATTGGGTCTTATAGAATACTAGGAACCCCTAACTATGAAATACATCAACTATATAACCATAGCAGCGTTAGAAATAGATTTTAAATATTGGCTAAATAACATCATCTAATTTATTTGTTATATGAAGTTTAATTAAAGTGTGTAGAATAAAAATATTACATTTTTAAACTACTAGTTAAACAGAATGTATAAAGTCTGCAGGAATTTATAAATACCATAAATAAATTCTTATTGCACTGCTGATCTTCCATATTTCTTTAGGTTTTATTTTTATATTTTTATGCACTTCTTCAGACAGGGAGTAGAATTACAGTATTTCTATGTTGTCCTTTGACCTGAAGTATTCAAAAAGAAATAGGCTTTTTGCTTTTTACAGACACAAATTAACCAGATCTGGGTTATTTTGTGAATAAAACTTTATTTAAGAGTTCAATGTCTTCCTACCTTCTATATAATAAATGCGAATATTAGTGTCAAAACAGTTTCACACTCTTTCAACTTTACTCCTAGAGTATACCATTTTAGAATCAGGCTGACTGCAAGCAAATTAAAAAAATTCCAGGTCAGATCCAGACCCACAATCCTGAAATTTTGGATTCCCAAATTTTCATTACTGCAATTATTTTGGCATTTTTTTTTTGTACGATAATTTTTATAACCTAGAAATAAATATAGGAATAATCAAAATTGTGAAATCCAGCAAAAGTTACCCATGAAATAAAAGTAATTATTTGTACAGAAAGTAAGGACCTATGTATATCAAATTGTCTTTAAATTAAGTGGCAGCAGAAGAATTATCATTGAACTTTTAAAAGGTAAGCTTCGATATTAATGCAGTGATCTATTTTGAGTTCTGTAGTTTAATGTTGCCTATCGTATCTATTACTCCTTGCTTATTGTGATTAAGGCCAAATCAAAACCTCTCCACAGGAGCTAGCTTAAATGTCACCCAATAGGGTGGCTTTTAAGCTAGTTTATAATATAGTCTCTACTTAGTTTTGTTTACCTTTTCCCTAAGTTGCATAAACTATAGTATTGAAAAAATAATTTATATATACCTGCATGTCCACAACTATTTGAAATTTTATTAACAATTCTTGTAGACTTTATTGGAACATTTACCTGTAAGTATAAAAGTTTAAGCTGTCACCATAAATATTTTTGGATAAGTAAATCTATCTTTCATACTCTCTCTCCCTCTGTGTGTTTAAGTATTTTTCAGATGAGTCATTAAAATTGAAAAGAAGCATGCATAAATGATTTATTTCTGACATCAATCTCAATATATGATAATTGTGACCAAATTTTTATGTACAAAGATTTTGGTTTTCTTTTTTTTTGTACAAATGATTAACAGTTTTCTGAATTTTATTAAATAAAAAAAAAAAAAGAAAAAGAAAAAATATTTTGGATTCCTTTCTCTGGAAAAAAAAAAAGCGGGTAGGTAGCAGTAAATAAAATAAAGTTCATAGATGAAATGGTATAAAAAATATATGTCTTTCTACAAGTAATGTGATTCATCCCTGGATGTATATTGTAAGTTTATGTCAAGTGCAAAGATGATATTTTAGGAGCCAATGGTTGTTGTCTTTTAAAGGAAATAGAGACGATCTCCCAACTTTTGGGCTGGTTCCTTGTGAATGCTCTGCCCAACCAGATAGGCCAGCTTGTGAGCATACTGTCAAGAAAAGATAAAAGACAATATTATTTAAAAAAAAAAAAAACAACAAATAAATAAAAGTGACAGTAAGAAACTATTAGAATAGAACTTTGACATCCTATTTATCAATTTCACTTTATTTTATTATTGAAATTACTAAATATAACCGAGTTTGATTCTTTTCTTAAACTTTACTCATTTCTAGCTTCTTGCTTTCCTGTTTACAAAAGTTTAAATGCAATGTCAATTGTTATCTTCTATCTCCTTGAATTCTGTTCTTTTTATTCTCCTCACTAATACTTTCTTAGTTTCCTTCACTTTCAGTAACCCCCTTGTGTCTTTATTACCTTGCTTGGGGTGAAATGAAAATTATTTTAAGGGTTTATGCCTCAATATTAAAAATTCTTTTAGGTGAAAATTCTTCTCAGCCACCAAATATTTTCTTATAGTTTACTGAAGTAAAAGTCATACAGATGTCGAGGGAAATAAGTAGAATAATATCTGGGATATGAGGTTTGTAGGGGACTTGGCAATTATAGCTGAACAGTTTATTATTTACAATATGCAAAACTAATAAGGCAGCATTGTTTAACAATATGATTTCTCACACATCTTTAAAAGATAAGGAGATCAAAGGAAGGAATTTAAGTCCACTCAGCTATTGGAGTTTCATAGGAATTTTGTCTCCTTTTCATCTTGAGTGAACTTAGGGGTTATTGTTTCAGGATTCATGTCTCCAGTTTGCCTTTGAATTGGGGAACATAAAAATTTTATAAATGATTTTTAGATCGTCATAAAAGTTGTACTTTAAAGATTTGACTACACATGGCTTTGGAGTGGTCTCTAATCTTCCTGAAGACAAGTGGATAGAGTTGGTGGGACCCCAGGATTATCCATATAGGCAGCGAGAGGCAGGATATTGGAAGAAAGTGGATTTAGCTGTGAGAGATCTAGATAGGTGGCCAGAGAAGTTGAAGCTGCCAGTGACAGAAGGACCAGTAGTGAGGAATCAAGAATCGCTAAGGCCAGTAAAGTTAGGAAGATAGCAGCCGACCTCTCGAAGCTGAAGAAAGGATCCCACGTTTAAGTCAGAAATCGTATTGTTGCTACTTCCCAACCAGAGAGTCTTGAAAAACAATTGCCTTCATTTTTTTTTTTTTGTTGTTGTTGTTGTTGAAAGCATTCATGGCTGAAAAGACAAACCAGTGCACATAGCGAGTTGGGTGTATATGCAAATACTCTCAACCTCAGATGTCATCACAGGTGCAGTGAGCGACAAACGATCGGAGAATGTGGTCACAAATGGTGTCACAATTGTAAATAAAGGGGAGATCAAAACAAAGTAGAAACTAGCAATAAATACGAACGGAATTTCTGTTTACCTCAAGCGCCTGCATAAGGCAAGAGGTAACCACTGCCAAAATGTGTTAACAACAAAGATGAGGATAATAGACTGCATTTAATCCAGAATAAAATCCCTTCCCAAAAATCCCAGTTGCTTTACAGAAGCCCCAGTTTTCTAGAAAAGCCGTGTTTCATGTTTCTAGATTTCCTTATTGATATATCACAAAAGCTTACTTAAATCTGAGGATAACCAGAAATAACAAAAGTATTTCCCCAAGACTGTCATATGATAGGTGAGTGTTAGACTAAAGTTTTTTCAGGAAGAAAGTGTGCCAAAGTTATAAGCAGCAGCTAAATAGTGCACCCTGTAAATATCAGAAGTTGGTTAATTACCTGGCAAGGAGCAGGAACTCTTATCGTTCCAGGCCAGTTATAATAAAGATGGGTCATTTTGTAGGTAAGACGTTGCACATGGTTCACCTGCATATCTGATGTATCATGGACGACAATGTAGTGGGTTGGGGTGACTGTACCCTGACGCACATGCTGACTCACCAGGAAAAAATCATACCTAAAACAGAAAAAAACATAAATGATAAAATTTCAAAGCCTCACCAGCTTTGAACAGGTGGGTGAGGGTGAATACCCCCCCCCCCACACACACACTTCTGCTTCTTAAAGTTTTTTGCTCACACCTCCAATTTTATTAGGGAAACTGCCATATACATAAAAATGTGTTTTTGTCGGAATTTTTTAGATCCATTATCATTATTACATACCTTGCCATTCGGACTGGTATGGTATGCTAATCTTGGTTGTTCTACTGTTGTACAGTCTTTCCTCTGCCGTTCCCTTCCCCCACCATTGTACACTCCAAACTCTTTATTCAATTCATGGGATTACACTGTTCTCATTCTGCTTTCCATTCTTAAGAGGATATTTCTTATCAGCTAATGCTCACCATTCTTCATAACCTTTGTGTTGAATATCTTCTGATTCCTCTGAATGTGAATATATCACTTTGCATACAGCACCACCCGAAGAACCATTGAACTCTCAACTGTCAGGAAACCAGATATAAGAATAATGGAGAATGAAGAAAGAAGGTCAAAGGGCAAAATGGCTAAAACATTGTGAGTGTAACAACCAAGATGAAAAAAAGTTTGTGTTCAAACAATAAAACCCAATTTGCAAGCTTCAAGAGCCACATCAGATTATCAATTATCTGTAGGCAACCAAGACTACATAGCAACAATTCAACTGACACAGTCATTGCATGCTGTTGGGTTATACAAAAGCACCTTGTTTTTATGAAGCATCTGAAAAATTCAAGAAAGCTTTTTTTTTATAAACTCACATCCTGGTTGACAGTAAAATCTTGTGTAATTCTCATTATAGAACGACCAAAACCACCACCAGACCATAAAAGAATGAAGGTTGGAACATTACAAGGGAACATGATTGGCTAATAATCAGCCAATAAAAATGAAAGGCTATAATATTAGATTGATCCATTAATGTACTGATCCATCATTCAATGAACAGATACACTCACCATGTCATGAGTATGATGAATTGTTAGAAACACATACAAATAGTAAAATTTGATCAAAATTTATTCAAAGGTCAGAGTTTTGTGTGTCATGCACTTCCAGGACATTGGTGATCATGGCTATCCACAATTTTTTGTCCTTTGTTGATCTTAATAAATTGTCATTTTGCTATCATACCTAAACCCTGTTATAAACCATTTTCTCAAGCTCACTAAGTAGGTCATGCATTTTCTTCTGTCCCTCTTGCCTTCAATCTGACCTGTGAATATCAAATTTTCCAAGCCCTCTTTCCTCATTATGGGCCCTAGAAATTTTAAATGTCTCTTTCTGATGTTAAGTGTGCCTTTTATTTCCATTTTCTCTAAAACATTGATGCTGCTCATATGTTCAGCCTATGATATTCTCAGCATCCTTCTGTAGGACAACATTTCTGTTGCTTCACGTGTCTTCTTCATCTTTGATAAGATTCTCCAGCATTCACTGCCACATAGGAAGACCGATATTATGTAATGCTTCAGTATTCTTTGTTTCTAATGAAAATTTTCCATTTCTTAGTACTTGGCTTAGCTTTTGGAAGGCATCTTTCACTATCCCAATGTGTCTTTGAATTTCAGTGTCACAATTTCCATCCTAATATCTATAAATCAGGATAATTATAGTAGAATATGAGTGTTATACTTGTATGTAAATAACATGAGCAACCAGCTGTGACAGACACAGGGTTTTCTTTTTTTTAAAAAGATCTTCTGTAATCTTTTCCCCATCTGAAATAAAATCATTAAATGTTGATTATAATATTTTAGTTTTAAGGATAAAAGCTGAACTTACCTGTTATTTTAGAACTTGCCCTTTTAAAGCATAAATTTTATTTTTAATCTGTTTTGTTTAATGGCATATCAACTAGTGAGTCATCTAACGCCAAAGCAAGTATGGTTGGGATTTTGTGTATTATGATTTCATAGTGAAATTAGGTTGTATTTTTTTAAAAACATTATAGGCATGCAAAAAGTAGTATTTAGTTTTTGTATTTATAAACTGAACTTGTGTTAAAAGTTAAAAAGGGATTTATTTTTTCAGATTTTGGTAAATAAGAATTAAAAAATGTTATCCAGATTGGTCCTAGTAAAGAGTTCTAACAAGTTATTTGTTTGGTAATATTTGATTCGGGCTAGTTTCAGGTTCTTACATGTTATCAGTATATAGCGACAGCTATAAATAAAAACAAATTTAAAACAAGATTGTCTCTTATGAATCAACAAAATCAACCACAAAACACTTACTTTTGTTTTCTGGTAATAAAGTGATCAACGATTGTACCAGGAGGTGGATTTTCCATTACACTTCGCTGGAAAAATAAAGATAAAATGACATTCACACAAGAAAATTTATTCTGTTGTGATCAAGTGATGTAAAATTTGATCATGAGAAACTACATTCTAATTCTTAAAGAGGTTTTCTTAAATCTAAGAAAATGGCATCAATTTTATTTGGCTTATTTTATAGCTTTCAATTCATATTTAATGTGTTTTGGGAGTCATTACTTAGTAAACACACACACATACACTTAGAGCAAAGTATTTTTATTATATCCTTTTACAATGAAACTGTCTTATACTTGGCAATACTGTCAAGAATCTAGAGCAGTGGTTCCCAAATGATGTGGTAGCCTTGTAGGTGCGACAGAAGAGGATAGCAGGTGAGACAGAATGAATGAAAGACAGTTTCAAAAAATTCATATGCCAAAAATAAATATGATATTATGGATTACTTGTAATTGCATACATGTCTTATTATTGACCAATTTTATCATTTTGATATGTTTGCATTATATCAAGTATTAAGAATATGGTAAGTAGGCTCCACAAACAGGAGGAGAGAGTTATCAATGATAATGTTTTGATTTTGAATCCACATTTATCTCCCTTTAACCCTCTCTGATATTTTTTTTTTTTTTTTTTTTTAAAGGTAATTTGGTAAGGCACAAGCAAATTTTTATTCCAAAAATGCAGCCCAGAGAAAAAAAATTTGGGAACAACTGATCTAGAGTATTGCATTTGTATACACTGTGAAAAGGGTTAAACACAAACGCTATACACACACATAAAACTCCAAAACAAATAAAGATATTGGTAAAGCATGAGAAAACAATCCTACAAACACTAAGCCTGCCAAAGAAGAAAAAAAAAAAAAAAAAAAAAAGCACAAAAAGCAAAAAGGCAGAAACCTAAAGTGCTCAATACCTCTAGAAATTTAGACTAAAACAGAGCAGTAACACTAACAAAACAAACAACATGTAGAAACTGATCCAAAGCATTACTCAGTTTCACACTAAGTGACTGTCAACCAAGAACCAATTCTTATCTGATAATCACATAGCATGAAACTCAGTGTTGTTTGGTTAGTTTATATATATATATATATATGAATTGTGAAGGCTGAAGGGCATACACAATTTTTAAAAATTGTGATGGAAAATCTTATATGTCAGTGAAGAAATTTGACCATTTCATTTCACAGAAACCACATCATTATAGAAAACATAAAACAGGTAAGTATAGCTTGGTTTGTTTGATTCTGTTTATCGGCATAGCAATCTATCCGTTATTTAATGCCGAAATGTAAATAATTTGAACAATTTTATGGCTTCAACTAAATATATTTTGAACACAATTTGTATGCCTTCAACTACAGATAAAATTACTGGTCATAATGCTTTAAAAATGTATTGTTTTACTATAAATAGGTATTGTTGCTATTTTTTAATTTTGTTTTTTAAATATAAAAATGTGTTTTTATACTTTCATAGTGTTTTGTTTGGGAGTTTTACTATTTATCCATAGACAGGACCTTAACAGGTTCTACCACTCCAGGTCAGAGTGGATCTAGGAACAACAGCAATTAACAGGTGGTTCCACGCTCGTCAAAACTTCCAATCTCCCAATCAGAGGCCTTGCTGCCAGATATAGTTCATCATCCTATCAGGACTCGATAGGTATTGCATTTTATATATATGGATTAAACTGATACTGAAAGATCAAATCAATAAAAGTTTCTAAATTCACATATTTTATTTCATTATTTGTTGAATGTCTATACTTGGTCAATATAGTCTGAAATGACATTCAATAAATGGACTTATGGTGAAACCTATATAAAAAGAAAATATATACATATACACATACCTGGTTGACAAATATTCGGGTATTTACTCTTTTCTGGACAATGATTACTGTTAGTACAGGGCTGTAGCTGTCACCAAAATGGGAGAAACATTTAGACAGTTGTTCAACCTCATAACCGGATACTACAGACAACTGACTATCAGAGACTCCATCTCGAAACACAACAATATGACGTGGCAAAGCATGATTGAGCTAAAAAAAAAAAAAAAATTAAAAAAAATGAATATATTCATAATAGGTGTAGTTTATTTATATAAATTATATTTTACTTATTATCTGCCAATTTATTAGTGCTTTAAAAACTAGTAAATATTGCTAAATTGCAGCTGTCATGATTTTCAATGGTCAGAGTAAAATTTATGCTGATGATTTTCTTTAAAAGATTTTCTCATTTCTGTCATCTATGGACAATTTTTAAGAGTTGCCAATTTTAAAAATTAAAAAAAATAAATGCAAAACACATAAGTTTTTGTTTTTTTTGTCAAGAGAATTCTCATTTTCATGTTTGGTGTGCTAAAATCAATGTTATAAAAAGTAAATGTAAAAAATCATGGATATTACAAAAATAGAAATTATAGTAATTTCTAACAAGTCTAACGACTTCCATTTATACCTAATTAATAAACTAGTAGATATAAACTTCAAAATATCAGGATCTGCTGATGACAGAATCGTCCCAGCTTCCCATGTAAAAATAACCCTATTCGATGATGGATGACTGATGCCTCTGCTCTTACCCAAATAGACTCCAAGTACCTGCTGAGTCTTATAAACAAAACTGAAGATAAACACTTCAATTAGAATGCACAATTTATTCATTCATTTTCTATGTCTTATCAACCATTGCAGGTTATTTAAAGCCAGAAAATATTTTCAGAATGTAAGTTTTTGGGGTTTTTTATTTTTTTTTGTTGAGATAATTGTTTAGTGATACAAGTCTTACAAATTAACCCCTAACTGGGGCGGGAGGGGGGTATGTGAATACATACCTTTCCACATATATTGGCATGTAAGTGAATACAACAAACCCAATAGGAATTGGAACTTAGCTCTCTGATAAATGGGAATGCACTGAAATTGGCAGAGAGGTAGAAATTACAAGAAGGTAAGCTTTATGTCTCATCAAATATGGTTTTTACTTACCTCATGGTATTTAGTGAGTGCACTAATAAGGCAGACTTTAAGACCATCAATCAATTCTTGATGTGGTTGCTGGAAACAAACTCGACTGAACCACCGAGTGAAAGTGTGGTTAGTGCTAGCTACAAAAGCTCCAATTGACCTATGACCTTTTGAAGAATCGTGATACACGTCTATACCAACAACCATTAGGTTACGCTGATAAAAGAAAAAAAAGTCTTTGATCAATTATGATTACATATAAAAATAAAATGTTTGCCTTATCAGGATTGTTATAGATACATAGATTTGTCTTCTTTAATAAAGATTAAAGTAGATAAAGTTCATGATGAATATTGTTGGTTCCAATCATATTGGGAATGACTGAAAAACATTTGACCCTCCCCATTTTATAGGCAGAAGCACACAAATGCATACTGGGATTTTTTCCTAGCCAATAAAATAGGTTGGTTCTTGATTTCATCTGACTCAGTCCTGGTATGTCTGGTCTTGAAGTCAGAATGCTGTGTTCATTTATCTGAACTTGCTCTTGTGTGTCAACCTCAATTTTTAGTTTGTGAACATTTTTGCCTTATTACTGTTGCTTTGCCGTTATTGTTGTTAATATGTTTTGCATATATTGTTTGCTTGCTTTAATATTATTTTTTGGCCCTGTTCTTTTCTTTTTATTGCAAACTTTGTCAATTCTGTTTGTTGGACAGTTTTGTCACTTATTTTGCATTTAACCATGGCTATTCACTCCACACAGAAAAAGTTAAAAATATTTCTACGTATAGTAGATTATGGCAAAATTTGTTGTTTCAAATGTCAAGTAAATTTGTAGATAGGTTCACCTATTGTTTGGTTCACACACCTCCCTAGTTTTTCAAATAAGATGAGAGGTTTACCTCCGGTTTCCTGTTTAGGACTTGGTTTCTGGTTCCTATTAAATTCTACTTCAACTCTGTACTTCTAATGTCTCCACCTAAAATCTGAAATTAATACTAATTTTTTTTTTTTTTTTTTTTTTTGGGGGACCCACACACACACACATTCAGTACCCCCCTTGCATCTCAGTGGTGAATTAATTAAAAACAAACCTCCCACCTGAATAACAAAAACGAGAGACTGGTGTAGATAGTAAATTTCCCTTCATCATCACAAAACTAATTGTTAACCCAAATAGTTCAAAATTAAGGATGACATAAGATGAATTTTTAGGGATTTCAGTCAAATTTCTGTATCCATGTAAAATTATGTGTATATAAATAAAAATAAAAATTAAGCAACTTTTGTAGAAATGTATTTTTTCTGCTATTACCAAATTTTCTATTTTATTCAATGATAATTTTCTTTAATAAATCCTATCTATGATTTGAGGCGGCTAAATGATATAAATGATAAAATTAAAAGGAATTGATCAAACAACTTACCATTGGAATATCTACAGCCCAGAGATCCCCACCCAATTTACAGTTAATCTGCAGAGCTATTTTCTGTGTCACACTCCGTAGTTTTTGTTGCTGGGCAATCGTCCTGGCAATGATAACCTAAAAACAAAGAAAAGAATTTACAGTTTCTATTGTAACAATAGTTTTATGCATGAAGCAGTGAAAAATATATATCTGCATTAAGAATGTTAAGAAGCTAAACATTTTTAAAAAAATATATTATTTCACCACAAGCAAGGTGATAATGCCTCTAAGACACAAAAGTGTTTATTGGGAGTGGAAGAGAATGAGAAGACTCGAGAAAGAAAGGACAATAAAGGAAAAGGATTCAGGAATTTGATGTTGCATTTAAGTTTTTGAAGAGGGTGGACGGCAGGGAAGCTAGAAACCAGAAGAGAGTTCCAAGTGAGAAAAAGGAACTATCAAAATATGGCTTATGGTTAAATCTAACTAATCTAGTAGATCAACAAGACCTAGTTGCCAATCTAGTAGTATTCTTAAATTCATGTAGTTGATGTAGTAAATAGAAAAGCTTATTAGGATAATTACCATGAAAATATTTCTTAGAAAAGACAGAGGGAAGCCACATAATGGCCGTGGGAAAGGGACTGAAATAAAGATGCCAGATCAGGACTGATAACATTGCACACCCTTCTTTGGATTTTGTAGAGAATCTCAAGATATAGAGCAAGAGCACAAGACTAGATATGGAAGCAATATTCAATGCAGAGATGAATAATTGTTTATTAACTGAGTTCACCACAAGCAAGGTAGCAAAGCCAGTGAAACAAAGGGTTACTTGGTGTGGGAGGGTTAGTAACAAGAACATTGCTAAGAAGTGAGAACAGGGGAAGAGTAATCAAGACAGCAGATAGTGATTGACATTGCATTTAAATTTTTACAGCTCAAAGCTGCCTGAAAGCATGGATCAGAAGTGACTTCTTTAAGTTAGGGAGTTAAATAAATCTATACTAAAAATGATAGAAAAAAAAAAAAAAAAAAAAACAATCTATACTGAAAAGAAAAAAAAATTCCCTAAAACATGAAACAGAAAATCAGTCCCTCTACAATAATATTGCTGATTTGTCTTTGGATTTTATCAAAGAGCTAAAGATAAATAGCAGGAGCACTGGATCATATGTGGCAGCAATATTCTAAGCATGGATGAATGATGGACTTATAGATATGAAAGATGGACTCAGGAGAGAAAAATCATCTGACATGACAGTGAACCAAATTTCTTAGCAGCTGACCAATGGATTCAATAGTCTTTCCACTTCATGTCAGCCCAAGAAGGCATGAGTCATTATTTTGGGTGTTAACATCAGCCATGTTGAAGCAAAGAGGGGTTTCTCAGATGATTAATAACAAGCAGGTTAGTTCTGGAGGTATTAAAATTAAAAAAAGTCATTCTTTGCCCTAATTAATAACAGGCTGAAGGTCATCTTGGATATCAGCTGCCATTTTAACCTTATCAAACTGATCAGACCTACTATAAAGACAGGAGTAAATGGTTGTGTCATCAGCATAGATATCAAAAGAGCTGAGGTCAGCAGGAAGGTCATTAGTGAAAAGTAAGACCATAGATGGAGCCCTGGAGGTCACCTGCATTAGTAAAAAAAAACTTGAAGAGCAGCCATGATGAAAATGAAAGTAATCCTAAAGGATTACTTTCATTTTGCAATTCTATAAGAAAGATTGGATCAGCTCAAAAATTTGTCCAGGTACACAATGACTTTCCGGTTTGTGGAGAAGACCTGCATTCCAAACCCTGTCAAAAGCTTTCAAGATGTTCAAAAAGGTAGTCCAGGCTTAGCCATTCTTAACTAGAGCTAGATATTCTTTTCGCAATTACTGTCAGTACATTAGTAGCTGACCTGGAGAAATGAAAGCCATATTGCTTGTCTGGGAGAAAGAAAAAAAAAAAAAAAGAAAAAAAGTCCTGTGATGTCTGATGCTTAACCAATTCAGTATTGATTAGGGTCTCTGGGAGTTTCCCCAGAAAGAAGTAGAAGGCTCAAACAGTTCACCAGAATTCTTAAAAACTGGAATAGCAAGCTGAAAAGCAAGAGGTATAAAGTTTAGAGAGAACAGGAGAATCAGTTTGGGAGCACACTTCTTAATGACTATTATAGGGATACCATCAGGCCCCACACACAAAGTGCAATACAGAAAGCAGTCAAGAAGACAAATTGGATGCTTGCAATAAAGTTTTAAACTATAAGCAGTTAATCATATTCATTCTAAGATATAGTCATAAGGATGCATGGGCAAGAAAAAAAAAATGTATAAGTACAATGGGGAAAAAAATTACTTGATGAAATTTAAACATTTTGAAAAACAAATAACATTTTTGCTCTTGTATATAAACACTAGTTACAAAATAAAATCCTTGCATTTGTAATGATCAAGGCCCTTAGAGGATGAAACATGTCGGCCAAAATAAGTTTTCCTTTTGTCTTTATTCATATTGTCCTTTTACAGATATACTTTACCTGTAATTGTTACACCCATAATTTCATATTTAAAGGATAATTACCTGAGATGGGATGGGACATTCAACACAACACAGTTTCTTCACTGCACTGTATTTATCATTCCGGCTTGTTGGAAAGATGATCACAACAAGTTGAAGCTGTAAAAGCCAAAATGAAGTTCTTAGAATGAATTTGAAAAAAATAAATGAAAGATAAAACCTGAATAATCAAAATTATAGACAGACAAAATATATAAGCTTATATGCTTATTGATCATGTTAAAGTTTTAAACATCCCTTTCACCCTTAAGCATTTTTACATTTTTGTCATCCACAATACCCAAAATCCTTCTGTAGAAGGACAATTCTGTTGCTTCATGTCTCTTCTTTTGTGAAGGGATTGTCAAGCATTCACTGCCTTATAGGAGGACTGATATTATGCAACAGTTCAGTACTCTTTATTTCTAATGAAATTTTACTTTTTCTTATTACTTTTATTTTAGCTTTTGGAAGGCATCTTTCACTATTCCAATGCAGCTTTAGATTTCAGTGTCACACTTTTTGTTTTTCTGTTAAATCACTTCCCAGATATTTAAATTGTTCCAATTGTGTGATTTTGGTATCTTCAATTTCTAATTTGCATCTTGGGCTGTTCCTCTTGCTGACAACCATACATTCTTCTAGAAATTAACTGACAAACAACAAAAATGAAAAACATGGGAAATATTATTATACTAGCTTAAATGCCACCTGATATAGGCAGCATTTAAGTTAGCTCCTGTGGAGGGTTCATGATTTCAGATTCCCTAGGTCTTTGTATATTCCCAGCAGTGGAAGCTATCCTGAGTTTTCATTTCCATGGGACTTTCTTTTCCTTGCTGCAGCCTTGGCTCTTTTGATTGTAATCTGGTCCTCTGTTGACAGATATCTCTTTTTGAGATGCATAATGCTGCCGTATAAACAATAAACTAGAAGAATTCAAAACTGATTGCTGCATTTAAATATTGCATTAATATTTAAGCTTACCTTTTAAAAGTTCAACAATAATTCTTCTGCTGCCACTTAATTTAAAGACAATTTTATGTCTGTAGGTCCTTACTTTCTGTACAATCAATTATTTTACGGTACTATTTTTGGTACCATTCCCTTTTCTAATGCTTCAAATAGGTAAATTATTTCAGCTTAAAAAATATCTCCACACTTTTAAAAGTAAATCACTGAATCACCACAGGTTAACAAAAAATTCAGAAAATCAAATTAACTTACCTTACTGTTAATGGTTTCTCGTAACAAGCGAATGAGGGTCTCCGTTCTATTATCCCTTATTTCAATTGTCCTGGGGTTGTTCACATCAATACCCATTGGTCCAGTTACTTTCATCATCATTGTAATAAAGTCTTTTGACTTGCCAACATCTTGTTTACAGGTGAGCACAACCCAATTTCTTAGAGCCACAGGTGTAATCACAGCAGCACGGTTTAGATCTCGACCCCAGTCAGCTTCAGGTGTTGCCAGAAATTCTTTCCCTTGCATAAAGATCTTTTCTGGATTGTAGCACCGGCCTTCAATCTATGAAATGGAAGGGAAAAACGGCGGATTTTAGAAGGGCAACATGAAAGGAGAAACATTTTGAGATGAAGACGCATTTATTTCACAAGAACTTGAACTGTATGGTTCTAACATAAATAGAAATCACCCAGTTATTGTTTAACCCTTTAAGCACTAATACAATGGTCCCCAAACATTTTTTCTCTCTGGGGGCACATTTTCAGAATGAAAATTTGCTCCACCTCACCAAATCTTATATGATAAAAAGTACATTTAAAAAAAAAAAAAAAAAAAAAAAAAAAAAAAAAAAGAGGTGTAAAGGGAGATAACATGGATTTGAAATAAAAACATTATCATTGATAACTCTCTCCTCCAATTTGTGGACCATAGTTACTATATTCTTAATACTTGATATAATGCAAAAATATCACTGTTGATTCCAATCGTAGTGGGAATGGATATTTATTTCTATATATTTACAAAAATTGTGGAACAAGGCCGAAGGGGAAAGGGCTGGTCATCAGTAACTATCTAAGTTAATTGCAATCACAACCCATCCATTCAATACAATATACTCAATCACCACAAGAACATATCCATCACCTCTTAATCCTACATATACCACATTCATAGAGAAACTACACCCCGCCCCATGATGTAAAAATTAATCATAGTGGAAAATCACTGCAGAACATTTGCCCCACCCCTTTTATAGGTACAAGTCCACAAATGCATGTGGCAATATTTTTCTAAACTAATAAAATAGGCCAGTTTACAGTTTGATATGACTCAGTCCAGATCTGCCAAGACAGGCAGTTTGTTGCCAGGCTCATGGCTGGCTTGTTGAACTCTCTGCCTTTGGGCAGAGAGGATCCCAGACACGGCTACACTGAAGGGCAGAGTCACATTTGGGGAGGCAGACAAACCCAACCCTGTGCATGCAGGGTCTACGGGGAATTTCTGCTTTAGCTTATGGGTTGGGATTTGCCCCCACATAAAAATCGGCCTCGTGCCACATCCTGCCTTGTGGAGAGGCTAAAGTAAATAACCTCAGTCCAGAAGACTGACTGCTACATTTGCTTGTCTGAATTTGCTTTTGTGTGTCAATGCCAATTCTTAGTTTGTGAACTTTTTGCCTTCTTTACACATTTTTGTATCAACCTTTAACAAAAAACACACTGGACATGAAGAGTAATACAGTTTCATGATATAAAAAAAGAATACTCAAAGTAGTTTATGCAAAAGTTGGATGAAAAGGGCTTAACACAGTGTTTCTCAACCCTTTTGTTTTTTTAAAACTTCAGGGTGCACTTATAGAATAATAAAAACACGGGGGGGGGGACACTTTAAATTTTAAGGAATAATTAGTCATGAAATGTGAAAATAAGAAAAAAAAAAAGAAAAGTGGTATCCTGAAATAAGTATAAGTATTTATTTTTAAGACATTTCATTTTATATTTAAGTGGTACAGTTTTCATTTAAAGGGTTTTATGAAGAATCTGCTGATGACTGATTTAAAGGCAAATGGGAAAGGGTTATCCACTTCTTAAAGTGTAAGGTTATTCATTTTAAAATATCAAATGACAAAGACTTAACTTAAACATAGAAGCCATGTGCATGGTGTGTCTAGCTTTTTAAAATAAAGATTTCTTTTTAATCAAAAATAATTCATAAATTACTCTTCTGTTAACTTGGTTACCTTTCCAGATGCACTGGTTAAGAAATGCTGGGTTAATGGCTACATAGATTTATTCTTTATAAGGTAAGCTCTTTGCTAACAGTTTCTTCACTTGGTTGTAGAACTATTCCCATCACTTGATACCCTGTCAACCTCAAAAATTTAAATGCAATGTCAATTGTTTTCTTGCTTGGATTGAAATGATTAAAAAAAAAAAAAAAAAAAAAAAAAAAAAAGGAGATGTACTTTAGCAAACAATGTACCTGTGACAAGACTGAATAGTCATTTGAACCTCTCCTGAAAATGTAAAGATAAAAAGGTATATAGTGTTAAAGGAAAAAAAAAAAAGAAAGAAAAAAAGATGAACGTAAAGCTTACATTTATTGTGCTCTTCTCAAGGTAGAGACCCCAGTCCTCGAGTTGCTGCCTAGCGTCTGCACTAGATTTAATAGACTCAACAAATTTTTTGAGTGTCATTTGTCTTTGCATTGGTGTGACCCGAGTGTGAGCAGCAATATCCTGAAAATAATCCACACATTAATATTGAAAATTAAACATTTAAGAAGGATAGAGATAGAATTTTCAAAAAACAATGTATTTTCACAATGTTAATACAGACATTAAATAACAATTTTTCCTGAAAAACTTTTACCCAATATTTTTCTCTTTCAGGAAAAAGGGAAACAATAGTCATCTTTTTTAAATGTCTCAATAAAGCTTCAAGCTTGGCTACTTCTTGCAATTCAGCTAAGATATACTAATTTCAAATGTAGACATGATTTTTTTTTTTTTTTTGACTTTGAAAGAAGAAGTCAGCAATAAAAGCAGATATTGATTAGTATTATTTTATATTGAAAACTTGATTTAGTAGAAATCAGTCAATATGAAGCCTTAATTAATTTCCAACTTTCTATTTTTTTTTTTTTTTTTATAGAGGGCATTTCAAACTATGTACTATAGAAATGCTTGAATATAATTCAGAACAAATGAATGATGAAGATCATATACAAAGATGATGTTCATTAAAGAATATAAAATGGAGGAATAGTAGATGTGTGGCACCATGCATCCTGACGATTTGAAAGAAATATTTATAGATATATGATTTGCTTTTTTACGGTTTATCAACCATTTGAGGATTATTTAAGGCGAAAAAAATATTTTTAGTTTTTAAGAATAATTCTTTCTTTGCATTCAAGCGATTTGGGAGAAAGAAAAACGAAAAAAAAATACGAGACGGGTCATAGGCGAACACACACACACGGCTTAAGAGACGGAAAGGTGGAGGAAAAAGGTTATTGCTGATAGATATCAGATGTCGAAAATATCTAGGTCACCTACGAACAAGCATTGACCGATTTCCGCTTGTCCACGAAAAATGGAATCTTGTTATCAATGGATGTGACCAAAAAGAAGAAATCCATTGTTGAACATTTACGAAACACAGTCTTGGCTGGGGGTGGAGAATTAAAATCCCACACAAGTAGTTTTCACCGGCTAAGTTTTTCTGTTGACAGAATAGACTTTTGCCCTGCGATAATAAAGATTTTTTGTTATCAACACATGGGCCGAAGAAAAATGAAATATTTTTATTTCTGCTTTGAAGACGCCAAGTTGGCTGAGATCTTGGAGGAAAATTTCTTTCTTAGGCCATGTCCAATTAGCGATAAATTGCTTGACAAACGCCACGTGTTAAAACCAAGAGTGTCACCTCGGCCACTCATGATAAGGGCGATTTAATTAATTTTTTTTAGTTAAGCCAGGTATTTCTTTCCCAAAACAAAGCCACGGGTTGTTCACGCCCGACTAAGACGTCATTGGCCAAGTGGATCACATGACGCACGAAGGAGGCGGAAAGATACCCGACCAGGACCTCATTGGCTGAGAGTGGTCACGTGACGCACAAAGAAAATCAGTCGACGCCTCTATCCAGAGTGTAAGTATGAGAAGCCGATACGAAGAAGTAGGGAAGGCAGTGCACGCCCCTCAGAAGCACGGTAAGAGAGTGGGAGTGAGAAAAGAGTTACCAAAAATGGAAAAGAGTGGAAAATCCCTAACCAGAAATAAGAAGGGTAGATACATATTTAGAATTATCGAAGAACCCCTGGCGCTGACAGACCAACCCCAGTTTTGACGGCGTCAATAAAAGCGAGACCCCAACCGACAGAAATCAGTTGAGCCTCGGACAGCGGCCGAGTTCGTTCGGCCCTGAGTGCAGAGTTCGTTCGACCCAAGCTGGCGAGAAGAAGTTAGTTCGCGCACCTGGCGGTAGAGATGAGTGCCCAGTAGTTCAGACTCTGGAGAGAAGAGTTGAGCCCCGGACGGCAGGCAGAGATGAGTGCCCAGTGTTGAAACCACATCAAGATAGCTGACCAAGATTCACGCACACTTCTGGACTCTTCTTCAACCAAGAACAAGTATTTTGAAGAGCGACTTAGAACCAGAACACAGAAATAAGTTTTTCGACTTTCGTCCAAAGACACACCAAACACAAATTTCTTAGAGAGCAGACAACTTGAAGCGTTAAAGTTTGCCTAAGCGAAAAGCGTCGTGCCACAATCCACAGAACGGGTCGGGAATTAGACATAGTCCTATGTACCGAACAAATAGACATAAAAAAGTTTGTTACCTTTTTCTTTGATACTTTGAAATTTGTGAGTTTTCATTTTATTTTCTTTTATACATATTTGTGTGTTCACCCCGTTGAACTCAGCTTGCATTACGGCCCCAACCCCTGTTGATCTTGTCTGTCTAAGATCAATTCTAACGTGGGTAGGCAGACTGGAGATCAGTGCAGTTACCCTGGTAACCAGGCGTTGGAAACAGGTTGGGAACGGCGAGGCTGGTATCAATCTAACCAGATTCCTACCTGAATCACCAAAGGGTTAGAACGTCATGTTTTGGAGCAGCGACACCCGGACGGAGCCAGGGCGAGGGACGGAGAACAGCTGAACAGCTGACGCCACAAAGACGTCACAACTGGTGCTGTTTAGGGACGTCACAACTGGCGCCGTGGTAGATCAGGATAGAACGTCACAGTCGGCGCTGCGACCGGGGGGACGACGTCACAGATGTCACAACTTGGTAAGTGGGGCCATAATAATAACAACAACACAGTTTAGTCTGGTGACTTCTCTGCTGGCAGAAGTGAGACTCCTGCTTTTTATTCATGCATAACAATGTGACCAACATGGCACTTGTTTCCTTAGTTCCTGGTTAAAACAGTAGAAATGAGAGAGTGGAAAGAAAAAAAAAATTGAAGCAAAAATTTAGGAGGTCAATCTTAGTATGAATTGTAGTATATAACTTTGGAAAGAGTCATTTCTTTTTTTTTTGCATTATAAGTAAATCTCTGATGAAAGTAAAAATGCAAAGCCAATAAATACTGACCACCTAATTGAAATATATTCAAAATACAAAACAAAATTGGGGCGGGGAGGAAGAGAGAGAGAGGTGGTGACCTAAAATCATCTTCTAATACAGCGGTGAGCCAACTATGGCTCATGGTGAGTTTTTAGTGTGGACTGCAAAAGTGTTTCTAAGAAAAAAATTTTCCCACACATTATTCGAGTTTTGTCAAACTGGTTCTTCTTTCCCACCCTACCCGCTTCTCAGTTTTAGTTAATGTCCAATGAAAATAAATAAGTCTACAACAATTTATTTCATGAAATGTCCAATGGAAAAATCACCAAATTTGTAGGTACAGCTAAGTTATTAGGTTGGTCGATTTTGTTTAGCAGCATACCAACCTCTAGGGGTTATTTAATACCGAAATCTAAATATTCAGACCAATTTTATGGCTTCAACTACAGATAAAATGCATTATAGGTAATTTTTACTATAAATAGGTATTGTAGGTAATTTTTATATATATAAGAATGTATTTTTATACTTTCATAATGTTTTGTTTTTGTTTGGATGGTGGGGTGGTGGTGGTCACTATTTGCCCATAGCTAGGACCCTAACAGGTGCTACCACCACAGGCCAGGGTGGACCTGGGAACAATAGCAATTAAGAGGCAGTTCCATGCTCCACAAAACTTCCAATTTCCCAATCAAAGGCCTTGCTGCCAGTTGTAACTTATCATATCCAGGACAAGGTTACTAGGTCATTTCGTACTAGCTGATGCAAATTGGGTCAGTGTATTCAGTTTACGATGTGACATATTGTGGTTTTCAATTCTTGACCCATGTTGTTTGTTGGTGCAACAGTCCAACATCTAATTACTAAGAATTACACAACCAAACATCTCATTGAAAGGAAGTCTATCCCTTTGACCAAGATCATACACGTCATTTGTTACTCTTCATAACAGTTTTGTTCCAAAATGTCCAGCGAGAAGGTATTGACAAGGAGTCAAATTTCAGAATTGTATGGATTAAAAGACATTATCTTTAAGTGAAATATTTCAATCAAAATCTGAAGTATATGAATGAATATAAATTCTTACCTTCATCACTTTGAAATCAGATCTCATATCATCTGTCAGCCCTGTCATATAACAGAACTCAGGAATTAAACATATCAATTCACTTTTGGGAGCAACACACTATAATAAAAAGAAAAGATGGCCTCAAATTAGATAATCATAATTTTTCATATATACAATTTGGAATGATTTGGGGGTGGGGTCAATTTGGTAGTGATGGTGAGACAGAACATTTCCTGTATGCAATAAATCAGCTGGAAAATCATTTAAAGGGAATTACAAAACAGGTATGGTTGAAAAATTTCCTAATATGAAAAAAGAAAAGAAAAAAAAAAAAAAAAATTATGTTTCTCATTTCAATTCTACAAGAGACATCATCGAAACAGAAGAAAACATTATGTTTACTAATTGTCTACCTCTTCAGATAAATTGATTTTTGGATGTCTTATATAGTAAGTTGTATATTTTTATAAGCTCAGAAAAACCTACAAACAGATTTTGTTTATTTCCAAATAAAAGACAAGTGTTTTTAAATTGCCACCAACATGAAGACGTACCTTTGACCATACTCCAGAAACCAGCTTTATTTCATTTGCAGTCTTGCCTCATGATGAGACAACTGATCTCACAATTTACAATAAACCTAATATTATTATTTGAACACTAGATATTCAAATATCTTGTTTAATTTTAATTCTTGATATACTTTCTCTTATTTAACATTTATTTGTTGAAATCTGTCAATGAAGATGAAAAGAAAACATCAATTTTGATAGTTTTTCTGTTGTCTTAACTATAATTCACTTCATGCAAACATTTCAAAGCCTTTTACTCATGTTAAACTGACATGATTTCAGAACAGTAGAAAATAATTGGGATTGGTGAGTCTATAAAGTTCTTTTTTTTTCGTCTCTCATTCAAATAAAACTCTAAAGCCTACACTGCAGGGTTCAGAGAGGAAGCAAACACTTACCCCAGGAGGAACTTTCTTTTTCTTTGGTTTATGAAGTAATAATGGTTGATTAGTGTCTCGGATTTCACGCCCATATTGTTTTCTGGAAACAAACAAAATCATTAAAAATTACAAATACGAAAGCATTTATTTCATAACAATCGCTTCATTGTGTAATCATAGACTTGTTCAAAATTCATTAAAAGCAAACAAAAGATTTTATTATGACAATAAAAATGGACATCATTGCAGTTGCTACAAAAATGGAAACACACAGAATCAGGGGGAAGGGAAGGGTAGTGAGAAATAATTTACTGTTTTCATGCATCATTCATCAGAGCTCGATCAAGGTAAATAAATAAAATTACTATGCAAACAGATCAAAAAAGAACATAGAAATAGAAAAAAAAATATATATTGTGATAGTAGACGTTTTTACAAGCAGACCGTATCAAGTCCACACAATCATCTCGGTTTACACAGGGTTCTTTTTTTTCCTTTTAAGTCACATCAACTCTATACTTCTAATGCCTCTGCCTAAATTCTGAAATTTTTACTATTTATTTTTTTCACAACAGGTTCACACCCCCACCCCAGTGATTTCATTTAAAGTAGTTATATTGGATTGGAACAAAAGTTTGTAGCATTTTTCAAAAGGTAGCACATGATTTTGTTTCATGCATAACTAAAATTTATGATATGTACAGATTCTGAAATGTGACATGTCTTTCTTGATGATCCATGAGCAGATTGTGAATTTTTAAATGTTTTTTATGTTAAGTGAAAATGGGGGGAGCGGGGGATGAGCTACATTTTCATTATTTGTTGTTCTTTAATTTCTGCAAAGATATAAACTCCCAAAAGACAACCCCCCACTCTATACAAGGAGCAAAAAAAGATATGTGCCATTTATGAAGATGGTTTGCTGTTTGTAAGTGGTTTGCTATGTCTAGAAATGGAAATTTTGATCTGGAAGAATGAGAACATTTTCGCAGGCCAGCAATCATTAATGATGCCTAAACATTGCTTAAAAATGACACAGGTTACATTGCCGAGATACACCACATATCCCATCTAATCATCGTAAGGTATTTGACAAGACTTAGATATGTTAATTGCTATAATATTGAGCACCTCACAATTTAACAGAAAATAATTTAATGCACCACTTTTCCATCTGCAAACCTCTTCTCAAATATGTACAATGTATTTTTGAAAAGAACACGGGCGATAGATACAAATTTGATTGTTTATAACAATGGAGTGTACAAAATTCTGGGGAAAATGAAAAGAGCTACCGATAACCAGTTCAAAAGTCAGTCTGCAGTCTGAAGGTGATGATTTTTGGTGGGATTACAAGCTCCTTCCACAAAATCAGATGTTGAATTCTAACAAGTACCATTCTTGATTAGACCAATTAAAGGCAACAATCAATGAAGAGTCTGGAATTGGCCAATTGGAAAGGTGTTTCCAATCAAGACAGTGTCAAACCTCCTGTCACTTTGCAGACATGGCAGAAATTTATTATAGCTTGGCTGGGGTGTCCTAGTATACCTGCCTGCCTTACCTGATCTTGTACCTTTGAATTACCACTTATTTTGATCTCTACAAAATTCTTTTAATGAGGAGACCTGTTTATCACAGCAAAATATTTTAGCTCACAGAAAGTGGTTATCTTTGCAGTCGTCAAAAGGGCAGATATTTTCTATATTTTTTATTTCTAAAAATTTCTGTTATAATGCTGTCAAATACAGTAAGCAGAAGTCCTATTTATGAAATTTACAATTTAGGAAAAGAAAACGCAAACAGATACAGGGCACTAACCGAAAGGTGAGAGAATTTAACGTGAAATGGACTCCCTAAACCCTTAACCATCAACATGCTGTCACCCTGTAAAATACTGACCCTCAAATTCTCACTGTTTGTGAGTTCCTGCATAATTTGCAATGAAGTCGTCATCTATTATGGCAGAGTATACATGAGGCAGGCTGAATATTAAGAGCCAATATTTATGGGGGCAGGTTAAATACTAAAACAAAGAAAGAATTCACAGAAAATGACCCCCCCGCCACCACCAGTCGGGTTTCTTCAAGAGAAATGTGTGAAATATCAGGTGAGAAACAGGAAACGCTGAATAGTGAACAGATTGTTCAAATTCGTTAAACTTTTGGGCAGGCCCTTGAATATTTGAATGTGTGTATTTGTCTCTATATAAATGTATTTGTTTTGTGTTGTACAATAGAAAACTTAAATGAAAACAAATGCAGATTAATATGAGAAGCAAACCCTTTCACATCCTGTAGAGTTTCACTTACCTGTAGTAGTCTATGAAACTAATACTTTCTCCTGAACTGGATTGAAATGTATCTTTTGGGGTCATCTCCCATGAAATGTCATCTATTCTGTAAGTTTTATTATTGTACCTTGTTAGGACAACAGAGCCAATGATTGTCTTCATGCTTTCATCTTGAAATCTACTGATATCTTTTTTGTACAAAGAATACCTGCATGAAAAAAAAAGAACATTTCAGGATTAAAATTAAGCATTGCCAAGAAATTCAACATAAGTAGCACAAAAGCTAATGTTACATAAGACTTAACACATCTGCCTAAGGTCAGTGCAATATTTGTGAAGTCTTACAAAGACAATATATATATTGAATTAAAATTGTTTAAAAAGCATCTATATTAATGAAAGAAGAGTACTCAATACTGGAGATGGAACATTTGGACATACAAATCAAATATGTATTGTGACTGTGTTTCACATTTTAAGCATTCATAAGACCTGGATCTCATTTTTTGCTTAGGGCTAATGTTTCAGATTATTTATATTCCTGATCTTGGGTTTATGCATTAGTGCTTTGTTTTTATTTTTGTATACTAAATTTAATTGCAAAATTTGAAATTTATTAAATTTAGGTTATGGATTAGTTTTGATGTGGTTTTAGCTAGCATAATATGAATTTGTTTTTGCACTGGCATTTGGAAATAAGCCCTGATTTTTTAGATTAGGAATTTGTATTGTTCTGAAAATGTGATCCATGTTATTTTCTCATGTAGATAAAGGTCATGGTTTTGAGGTGGTGTTACAATTTGCTGCTGTTTTTCTTATTTTCCATGTATTTTATGGGGTGTGTTTTGATTTGTGTATTGTGAGAGTATTGTTCCATTTGCATATCTTTCTTTATTAAACCATGTTGTTTTCAATGACATTCTGGTATTTCTACATATATTTTTCTGGGTTTGCACTGAATCTTACAGTAGCTAGGTATAGTGTGTTGTAATAATATATATATAACACATGCTTTGGTGAGATGTTCCAAATCAACAACCGAAACTAAGAGGGTGTTGTTTGAATTGATGAATATGTTCTGCCACTGAGGACTTCAGGAAGTGAAACATGGATGCTCAACACCACCATTCCAGTGACCAAGCTAAGTTTATATTTCCACAATATTTGGTCATCATTTAACAATCCTATAAAACTACTTCAATTGAAATGCTTACATCACATCTAGTATGGTTTCTTTCCGAAGAACTTTATGAGAAGCATCAGCCATCAGCATAAGACCACCATCATGCTCCTTGATGGCAGTGATATAACCTGGCCAGATTTCCAATCTACAAGAAAAACAAAAACAAGTTTTTTTTAATGAACAGGCATCTGTTAACTTCTTCAGAAAAAGTTACTTTATTTCCGTATGGCAAAATAAATACAAAGTAACATTGCAAAGATACTCAGAGAATTTAGTTGAAATAAAAATAAATACAGCTTAAAGGCATATCAATACTCACAAGTGATATAATGCCAAACATTTTCATTATATTTAGAGAAGAAAACTGAATATGCTAAATTTAGAATAAACAAGGTATTTGGTAGCATTTTATGATTCTACAGGATGAAGCAAGCAGGCTTACTATTTATAGGATCCTTATTCCAGTAGGAGGAAAGGAAAATGAAGAAATGTAAGCTTACTTGTGCTGAGGAATGGCAGTTGGTGAGTTTGGGTTGTAGTAATACCTCCCCACTTGTTTCATTTGAAGAATGCTCATTATCCTAAAAAACAAACAAGAATAAAAGCATTATCAATTGATCCAGAAAAAAAAAAAAAAAAAAAATTAAAGCGATACATACACGCTGTATAAGAAATATAAACAGTTATATTCCATAATAAATTGAGATAAAATATAAATTGGAATCTAACAGAATGAGAAGATAAGGAACAAATAGGTAACATTTATAAATTTAACATGTTTTGCTCTCATTAACCTTTAGCACTCTGCATTATTAATATTAATTCCCTTTTCACTGCATTCTTTTTCAAGGCCTCTCAATTGCAGTATCCTTATTGTTAATTTCACTCAAAGTCGTTTTCTGTTTCCATAGTGGGACAAAATAACAACTATGAAATTTAAATTCAGAATTACCTTCAATGGCAGGAGAAAAATTGTTGTATAGCAAATGAAGTCGCATACAGAGAGTGATGAAGGTTAAAGATTACATCAGAAAATGAAATATGAAGGAGAAAAGAAATTCTGATATTTTTATTTTGGGGTTTGTTTTTCATTAGTCAAAACTTAGTATTACAGTATGAATATTTACTCCAAATATCTTTCTTGCACAGTATTGACTTAAACTTTTGTACACTACAGGGTATGCAGGTATATCAAATATTTTCAGGAAGTTGAACATCCTTGCCTTGCATTATTCCTTGAATGTCAAAGGAGACAGACTTATCATAGAACATTTTGAGCCAAACTTGTGTCTATCATTCTGACTTATGCACAAACTGGACCTATCAATACAGAAATTTAAAATTAACTCAACCTTCAAGCTAAAACTGAAACATCCACCATTAACTTTTAGCACTCTGCATTATTAATATTCCTTTTCCACAGCATTCTTTTTCAAGGCCTCTCAATTGCAGTATCCTTTACTGTTCATTTCACTCAAAATCTTTTTCTGTTGCCATAGCAGGATATGACAACACTATTATGAAATTTAAATTCAGAGTCACCTTCAGTGGCAGGAGAAAATTTTTTGTACAGCAGATGAAGTTACATATAGAGGGTGATAAAGGTTAAAGATTAGATCAGAAAATGAAATATGGAGGAAAATAGAAAATTCTGGTCTTTTTTTTTTAGTTGTTGTACATTTGTCAAGCAGTATTCCTGTGTATACTTCATGTGTGCAGGTATATCATAATTCTAGTTTGTATGTGGAGGATTCTGATGGTATGTATTCATTTGCATGTGTGTGTGCGTGTGTGTGTATATCTAGCAGGCATTTTTATTCATGTTTGGAGGTTGTCTTCATGATCATTTGGGGTTGTTCTGTATGAGGGTGAAAGAATTACAAGAGAAAGTTACACTAGTTGTGTTTGTAGGTACAAGTGCTCCTGAAATAGGAACACTAATTTTTTTCTCAGTCTGTGAAGGCCATCCCCAGGTTCATAAGGAGGAATGGGCCATTATCCTACCACACTGCCCAATGTGTGTTGGTAGGGACTTGGGCAATTAAGTTTCTTTTTGATTTATAATCACCCAGAGGTATTTGTGTGTAAGTCAATGTAATGAATCCAAGTGGAATTCGAACTCAGTTCTCCAATTTCTCATTCCAAGCTGTTATCCATTACACTAGCCATACATCAGAGTTTGCAACACCTAAGTGGTCCCCCGATCTTTGTACTGACCAGTCTTAATGCTGCTTAACTTCAATGATTGGAGGAGAACTGTTGTTTCAATGTGATATAGCTGTAAGCCAGGAACACTAAACACATATCAACTAATTCTTGAAACACATGCACAAAAAAGTGAATTCATAAATTTGTAGCTTGGAAGTTTTAGCTGAATTCTGATGAGTTAAAGTTTTCACTGTATGTGTTCAGAGGATAAGTGTTGAATTAAGTGCATTGACAAGAAAGGAGACAATGTTGAAAAATAAAATTTTTTTTTGTTTTGTCTTTCAACCTTAGGCTTAGGATTAACTGACGTGTGTGTGTGTGTGTGTGTGTGTGTGTGTATATTATCAACAAAGTTTATTAACACCTGGAACAATGTCAAATGTAGATTTTTACCCAGCTGTTGCATCCATTCTTTCTGAATTATTATGAAGAAAACTACAATACATATCAATTTAGCTTCTGAAGTCACACTTTAACAAGAGTTATTTCCATTTATGGAAGCATTCTTGGAACTCCTTTATTGAGATAGCGAGCATCTGCTTCATTGCATTCTCTTGGATTTCCTCAACGTCTTGCACTCTTTCAAGAGGGATTTGATTTTTGAAAAGGAAAAAGGTGCCAGTGGTGATCTGAGGAACATGGTGGTTGTTGGACCTGGGGAAACTTGTGCTTGGCCAAAAACTGTTACACAAGCCATGGTCATTGCTGGAACCTCCGTTATGGTACGAGATGACCATACTCTACACATTTTTCTTCCAAGCACTGCTATAAACAACAGAAGCAAGCAAGAATGTTATAACTGAGTTTGTATGTGCAACAAAGCTCAAGGTCAATTCATGCCAAGTGATGTCACTTTGCATACTTTAGCTCAGTTAACAAAGCAAGAGTCTCGACACTTCTTGATCAGACTTCCTATAGATACAAGAACACAGTTTATATTTATAAGTTCAGAAAGCATACTTATTAGCAATTAATATTTGATCATACAATTATAACTGATCTGATTAATATTTCATGGCTTAATTAGAGTAAGTAGGACCTATGAATTTTACAACTGGATGGGACCTTTTCTAAATGTAAAAATGACAAAGCCAAATGGAATAAATTCTATTGACAAACACAAACAAAATATGTCCTTGAGAAACATTACTATATTATTATCAAGTACCAAATCAAATGTCCTTGAGGCAACTCACCTTCGAAAGATAATATTGTACAAAGGAGTACAAGACTCGGGTTTAAGTACTTTTACCAATTTTATGGTTATGGTAATAATATCCCCATCAGTTGACCGAGTTGAAGTCAGTACTGTCTCCTGCAAAAGGAAGAACAATGTCATTATTATTGTCATATACGAATGAAAAGTGTCACTGATGACACCAGAGTCTTAATGTGAATCTCTAGACAATGAAAATGTAGACCACCATTTACTATAGAGATATCATACCACTAACTTGAGTAGTTACAATTACATGTTGACTATTGTGTCAACCTGGATATTAAAGTAGAGTTTCACATGTTTCAAGAGGAATTAGTACTTTTCTTAGCAGATCTACACAGTTGTGTATTAACTGTAAAGTTAATAATCTTTCCATTGACTCTTCACTTCTTTGTCGTTAATGTATTCTAATTGCATTTTGTAATTAAATATTTTATTTTACATTGAAATCTTCCTATTATTACTTTTATTATGTATGTGTGATGTATTACAAAAATTGGGTTACCAGCGTTAGTCTTAGTCTAGTCTTGTACATGATCACAATTTATAAAGAAACTAGTGGAACTTGTAAGAGCATGGACCTACAACTGGTGCTGAAATGAGCAGAGAGTACTGAAAATATACTATGCGATGAGTGACAACTTTGATGTGTTTCAGGAAAAAAAATCACTTTTGAAAGGTTTTCTTTCTTGCAGACATCAAGTAAGTTTCATTTAGTGGATTGAGAAAAACTTAAACATTATTACTGGTCAAGATCACATGACTGATAGGATCAATTAGTTAATTGCAAGCAAGAATTATCTGACAGGCAAAAATTAAAATTTACTGATTTTCAAAATACAAAGTTAAAAAATGGAAACCTAAGCTAATAACATTTTTATTTAACACTCCTAAGTAAAAAGGAAATACAACAATATTTCTGCTTTTATTTGACATTAGTATTTATGTTTTACCAGATGGAATTGTAATTGATTATTGCTAGCCAGGCAGATGACACTGTGTTGATAGCAGATCTAGAAAGGAAACACTAAGAACTTTTATGGCAAGAAGAAATGACTAAACATCAATTGCAAGAAGACACAATACAAGGTTGTCAGCAAAAGGTACATCTCAAAATACAAATTACAAATTGGAGATATCAAACAAGTATAACAATTTAAATATCTTCCAAAAGATAAGCAAGTATTAAGAAACAGAAAAATTTTCTAAGAAAAAGAGTACTGAATTGTTATATAATATCAGTCCTCCTATATAGCAGTGAATGCTGGATAATATCATCACAGTTGAAGAAGAGACTTCAAGCAAGAGAAATGTGGTTCTACAAAAGGATACTGAGAATACCATAGACTGAACATGTGAGCAATGGCAAAATTTTAGAGAAAATGGAAACAAAAAGAACACTTATACTTAACATCAGAAATAGATATTTGAAATTTCTAAGGTACATAAGGTGGAGAGGGGGCTTGGAAAATTCACAGGATAGATTGAAGGCAAGAGGGACAGAGAAAAACAACTCTTAACCTATCTAGCGAGCTTGAGGAAATGCATAGCGGAACAGGGTTCAGGAGAGATAACAAATGGACAGGAGATTGTGAAGAGCCATAATCTATTGTTTCAGGAAGAAAAAAAAATTATTGAACTAGAATAAAAAAAAAAGATTATGTTTAAAAAAAAGTCTATATTATCAATAAAATTAACACTTAAAAGATGCATCAATTTTGAATGGCTTCATTTAAATTATCCAATTAGATAAATCCGACTTATTTTACATTTTGAAACTTACCGGATTAGGTAGCTTTATAGGCAGATATAAAATTGCTCCATCGAATGCTCTTGTTTTTCCCGTGACATCACAATGTTCATACAACATTCTGTATCTCATACTTTTGCTATCAATTTCAGGTGAAAATGATACATGATACTGGAAGACACTCTCATTCTTGCAAATGATTTTTATGTAGTTGGCAGAAAGGCTGATCCTGTGAACAAAACAATAACTTTACTCAAGGACATACTCAAAATCAAATAGAGAAACAAAAGAGAAATCTATAGATCCATAGACTATAGTTTGGTGTTATGCTTGTGCTCTTTTGTTGCAATAATAATCAGTTAGGAAAAAAAAAAAAAAAAAAAAAAAAAAAAAAAAAAAATTTAATTTCACAAAAATGTGTGTACTTGAAATTTTTTTGACACCCCTCCATATTTAAAATAAATGGGATGCTAAATATTTATGGTGGTGCTGATTTTCAAATAAGTTAGGATTCAATAAATAAAACATTTGCACCAAATCTATTTTAAAACACAAGAAAACTAATTAACAAATTATAAGAAAAAAATTAACCGTAAAATGAAATTTTAGTAAGACATTGAATTAACAAGAATAGTATTCAACATTACACCCTTTAGTATCAATGATAAGAACATTATGCACTATTTCAAAATACATACTGGACTAATTTGTGGTATTGTGTTATCTATAGTATGTTCTATGTTTGGATAATTGTCGTAAAGTAAATTGATAAAACTGTCACATTTTGGAAGATGATATAAATTTTTCAGTCACTATTTTGTAAACAAGATGCGTCATAGTTGGCTGATACAGTACTACACAATTGTTCAAAATTAGCTTTGCTCACACTGAGCAGATATTTAGGTCAGGCCTATGAGACTTACCCAGTGTGGTCTGTAAGAGGATCTCAAAATATTCTGATGAACACAAAAAAAAAATTGACCAAGTATGGTAACTGACCAGATATGAAAAATTCAGTTTTGTGGAAGCATGATGTTAACCAACAACTATTTTCACTGTCCATATCTAATTTAATCCTTTTGACTCTCCACAGAAAAAGAAAGAATTTTCTTGCCATCCCTCCTCCTCTGTCTATATCTGTTTCTATGTCACTCACATTCAGTAATTATTCTAAAATGTACTCTTGCAACACATGGCTTATTTTTTGTAAACAATGTTCTTCTTTATTTTTTTTTTTTTTAATTGTGCAGGCATACTTCAGAAAATGTGTGCGATTCTGTAATCAAGATGAGGACCTGTTATCTTCAGAAGTTACTGTTAGTGTGAGTATGGTGTGTAAAATCCAAAACTAGCATTGAAACTGGAGCATATCACAGAAGACTCGCATTTGTGCACTTTCATGAAATATTTATCAATTTCTAGTTGTAAAATGACAATCTGAGAATTTGCAATGGTAAGAAACTGAAATTAAGGTGATGGATAAGAATTGACAATTCTTTAGCTCATAATCAAATTCAATATTCCTCATTATTTATAAGATTGTCATGAAATCCTTTCTATATTCTTTTCTTGGTTCTTAATTTTTTTAAGTTGAACATTCAAATGCAGCAGGCATAAGAAAATAATAAATCTGACTTACGGTTTTCCATCTTTTCCATTCCTTCCACGAGTTTGAGGCTCAATATCCAGTCCTTTAAATTGTTTCCTAAGAGCTGATTGTGCATCACTTTCTTCAGGGTGGATATCCAGTGAGGAATGAGGAGAAATTGTGCACCTGCCACTGTCAGTTTCAGGAGATGTCATATCACCTGATGCCCCTCTCTTAATGTCTATATTAGAAGGAGCGTTTGCTGCTGCTGCTGCAGCCACAAAAGCAAGACCACGGCTTCTGCCTAAGCCTGCAATATTACTTTGATATCTAGCAGAAGCGGTGGTGGATTCTTTAGCTCTGGAAGCCCTAAAAAAAAAAAAAAAAAAAAATAAAGAATTAGGAGACAGATCAAAACTTCACTGTAACAATGAAAAAATTACAAATCTACAATAAAATCAATGAGAAAAACAAGTCATTGATAGTTTCCATCAAATTTTAGTATAAACAATTTTTTTTTTTTTTAGTTTTCATTAATCTTAGTGAATTCATGAGATTTTCTATACATACAACTTTTGTGAATCCACTGAGCATAGAAACATGTCCCAGCAATATTATGTATGTATGTATGTATATATATATATATATATATATATATATAAAAAAAAATTGGTAAAGTTGACAGAAATTAAAAACTTATATATTCCATTAAAATTTTACTAACATATGCTTGGGGCTATGAGGATGGAAAATATAGAGGATTCTAAATGACAAAATTCAATGTTTAACAAACAAAAATGAGTAAATGATTTTTTTTTTTTTTTTAAATCTTAATATTTGACCTGATAAAGTCCATTACAGGACTAAATGCATCAGGTAGAATAAGTTTTGTAAATTGTTGCCATTTTCTATTTTTAATTCTACACATGCATGTTGTTTGTTTCCAAATTTGTCTACTCCACAGTTGAGCACTATGAGAAAACAACCATGACATAATTCACTGTGCTTGAAATTTGTAAACAGCGTGCTGTATTGCTTGGCATTCGTGCCGGAAGCTCCAATACAAAAATTTCAGTGTGTTTGGGTGTCAATCTATCATTGATAAGGTTAGGCATATGCCTGCTACTGGTAACATGTAACCTGCCACATGGGTGGGTGGTTGGCATCTAAACCAATTCCTCCACTAGTTTTTCAGCTAGTGAGGAAGGTGGCATGGATTAAAAAAAAAAGGAATCAATTATCAAACTACTTATACTGAGAAACTTTTGCAACAAATGCCAAACATCTGTGCTGCATTAATCAAGGCTAAAGGAGGACATTTTGACAGGAGCAAAATCTAATCATAAAATGCTATTTTTCTTTTTGACTTCAGAAAGAGTTGGATCAGTCTAATAATGAGTACAACAGTATGGCAGCTTAGAAAACTCACTCTGACCTCCATAAGAAAGGAACTTCTGAATGTTGGTGACAGACTCAACAAGGAGACCTACATTAAGTGCCTTGAGGTATTGCTATCCTACGTCAAGAGGGTGGCTGCTGGAAGACTATTTTTGGTAACAGGACTCTGCACCATGCCACACAAGCAGGAGAACCCAGTCATAGCTGTCAGACAATTTCTGTGACCACATCACCCTTTACATCTGGCTACCTAATTCCCCAGACTGTAACCCCTTTGATTATTATGTGTGGGGCATAGTTAAGTGAGAGACCAACAAAACTCCTTGTAACACCAAAGATGAAGGCTAGGATTATGGCAGCATTCGCCAACTTAAACAAGGATACTGTCCAGAAGAGTTGCAGGAGATTCCAAAGTCATCTGTGAGGCCATTGGTGATTTTATTAAATAAATTTACTCTTTAGTATTTCAAAATATTTTTTATGCAATTTTGATAAATATATCTGTTAAAATGAGACGTCAGTATTATTTTTAATTTTTGCCTAATTTAAATGACAATATATCCATCACACCCTATAAATATATAAATAGAAATAATCAGCTTTTAAAATGAGTCTGCTGTGAATGAATTATTTATGAATTTAAACAGTTATTTTAAAATTGTGCACTTTTTTTGCCACGCCAGCAAATTATGTTTTGTTTTGGAGGGAGTTGTTAAAATTGTGTGTTTATGGCTTTATTTGGTGTTGGCCAGAGTGTGCCTTTACAGCAGACCCCCTTTAAGAGCTGCTTATTTCGATTAATATTAGAAAGCACTGCCATGGGTGACTTCAGGGGGCTTGGCTCCACTGAGTACTTTTTTTTTGCGTGAAAGCATTAGGCCCCTTGACCATGGTCCCATTGTCCCATGTGGCATTGAGCACTTTTTGGCTGCATCAGCAAACTATATCCACTTTGGGGGAGGGTAGATCTTGTACTTAAAGCTTTATTTGATCTTGGCTGAAAGGGTGCTTTTGTTGGTGTGTGAATGATAAGCATGTAACTGGCATAAAAGGTTCCCATTTTCACACCACAGCTGTTGACCACGAAAACACGAAACTGTCAGCAGTGGTTAGACACTGTATGTCAGAAATTTAACACACACACACACACAGAACAGTTCAAAGGTTTGAAATTACTCCCAGAATTTGCATAAGATGAAATGGACAGAAGATTTAAAAAAAAAAAAAAAAAAAAAAAATAATGGAATCAATTATCAAACTACTTATACTGAGAAAAAAAGAAAATGCAACAAATGCCAAACATCTGTGCTGCAGTAATCAAGGCTAAAGGAGGACATTTTTCTTTTTGTCATAATAAAAAAAACAAAAACATCATCTCTTTTTTTTTTTTTTTTTAATCATGTATAATAATTTTCTCTTATTTATAGTATAAAACAACTACTTTTGGGCCAATTTAAAGATTACCAGGAGCTACCTCAAACTTTTGAACTGTAGTGTGTATGTAAGAAGCTTATCCACCCTTTGACAGGTTTTTTTTTTAATCCTGTGAGACATGCCACTCTCCTCACTAGCTGAAAAACTAGTGGAGGAATTGGTTTAGATGCTAACCACCCACCCACCCATGTGGCAGGTTACATGTTACCAGTAGCAGGCATATGCCTGACCTTATCAATGAAGGCTGTAAAAATAATTATGATCCTATAGTATCCAAGATATTTTACCAATTTAATGCCGTAAAACAAACATCTTAAAAATTTTCAATTTTTAGAATTAGATTTAAAAAAAATCAAAGATGTAAGAAAAAGAAAAGAAATTCTTGGTTCTAATCAGTCTTAATGTAAAACTAATTCACCTTCACTTTTGCAATTAATATATATCGTAGATATTAATACCAATCATGCAACTTACTCAAGCAATGCCTGCATAGCAGCTAGTCCGCGTCCTGCAGGTTTTGCTGGCTGAGCAGGAACCAGAGATGGTGTTGGCACAGTCTGATCTGAAGAGCAAGAAAAAATTAAAAAAAAGAATACTCCAATATGAAACCACATTTTTCCCCTACCTACAAAGTTTGGAGGCTGATACGTGAATTTAAAGAAAAACAAAAAAAACTCACTTCTAAATTTTTTGTGGTCTCTTGTGTAATTTCCGTCATTTTGTTCCTATTTTGCAGAATTTTTTCCAATGGGAAATAGGTAAAAAGCTAAGTTTGAAGGAAATATTAGTCATCTTTCATACTTTCTAGGGGTAAGTAAATAGAAAGTAACAATTGCTATCCAAGGAGAAAAATTATGTTACAGTGATCATTTTGACATATTTATCTGGCCTAGACATTATGTAACAGAGGCATACCAACTGTCTGCCAAGTTTGAAAATTAGCATTCAAATATTTTTCTTTTTTTATATGGAGTATCAATCATTAAGGCAAATGCAAAGTATGAAAGTCACTCAAGATTGAATCATTAAAGAAAATTTATATTGTTATAAACCAAATTTTACACAGCATGAAATAAAACAGAGAGGAAGGAGAGAGAGGGGGGAGACAGAGAGAGAGAGAGGGACACACACACAGAGAGAGAGAGAGAGGGAGAGACTTCTTTACACACACACAGAGAGAGAGAGAGGGACACACACACAGGAGAGAGAGAGAGAGAGGGACACACACACAGGAGAGAGAGAGAGAGGGACACACACACAGACACAGAGAGAGAGAGACACACACACAGGAGAGAGAGAGACACACACACAGGAGAGAGAGAGAGAGAGGGACACACACACACACACACAGAGAGAGAGAGACACACACAGGAGACACACACACAGGAGAGAGAGACAAACACATAGGAAGAGAGAGAGTTTGTCAGGAGAGAGACATGAGAGAAGAGAGAGAGGGACACAGAAGAGAGAGAGTGACACAGAAGAGAGAGAGTGACACAGAAGAGAGAGAGTGACACAGAAGAGAAACAGAAAAGAGAGAGAGAGAGACACACACAGAAGAGTCTGAAAAAACATTTTGTGAATCAGGAATCTGATATAGTTAACATACCTGGGGTCAAAGGGGACATTGAAGAGAAAATGCCTCGGCCAAGACTTCTCTGTCCTGGAGGCTGGAAATAATCAAATATAAAAAATTAAAAATCTGTTTGTCAGGGATTTATTGTAGTTCAACTAGAGACAGTAATGTTAGCAGCTGAAAATGAAACAATGCTTAAATTTCAACAACAAACAAGATTTTATATTAAATTAATTCAGTTTGTAATCATTTGTTTACATATCCACTCAAATATGAACTTAACAGTTATTAAATGTAGATTTAGATAAGTCATGGCACTCAGTGAAAGAAAGCCAAAAGAAACAAAACTTTTTTTTCAAAACCTATGTTTTTTGAAATATTAAATACCTCCACTTTTTCACTGAAAAAACAAAAAACAGTATAGTGAGATGAAAAAAGGCCCTAAACTTAATAAAAATAAAGTTTTATCAAAATTTTTATGTTATTAAGTGAAAAAACCAGAGTATTTTTTTTTTATTTTATTAAATTTTTTTTAATCTTTTCTAGCATGTTAAAAAGCTTGATTTTTTAGGTCAGCAGTCAATGTAATAATTACCATTAGTGTTTTTGTACTTTTTTTTTTAATGAAAAAATACATTGCTTAATAATAAAAACATTATATAACATGTTCATTTTTGAAAGTATGTTCGACCATACACAACATTATCAGATGACTATAGGAAATTTAAATTCAACATTCCTAAAACTAGATTATTGAAAATATTTTCCAACATTTTTAAGATTGCTGAGTACTTAAAAATTATATACAACCAGTTAAATATTTTTCATATTTTATGGCAACCACCTGTCATTTTCTTAAATTATATTTTAACAGATAAAGTCTCTGTAGAACAACAATAAATGTGTAGATAGATTTACCAGCACTCGTTACATGATTGACAGGCGATAACAAGTACATAATCAGCGTTTTAAATATCTATTTCTTTGTTATTTTAAACTTAAAGTAAATATATTTTTTTAAATCAGAATAATTATACTTTAAATCAGCTAATAAAGTTTCAGAAAAGTATATTTTATTTTTGGAAGATTTTGAACCTTTACCACTCTAATTTCTTTCTAGAATTGTTCCTCCTGCCACTGCATTTTTTTTTTTGAGTGCAAAAACATGAACATCTACTGTTTTAAAATTGTTATAGCTTTCTTTGTATTGTGCATAATTTTTGTACACCAATAAAAGAATGGCTGAGTAATATTTTGATGTAATGCATTACATTTTGCATGCATGTTTTGATGTTGAAAACAAAAAAAAAAAAAAAAAAAAAAAATAAAATAAAAAAAAAACAAATACATTAAAAATGGATAAATAATTCTACATATTTTAACTTTTATTTTTCCTTGTGGAGTTCTGTGGGAGAAATAAGAAGCAAAATTGCTAAGAGGGATTTCATTTCGTCAAAAAAGTGACGTGTTTACATATGAGAAGACATTTCTTTCACTTAACTATCATATTTACTTATTTGTCTCTCATTGATGAATAAAGTTATTATTTCGTCGTTAATAAATAGACAAAATAATTCACCTTCAGAATGACTATCAGGTATATTGATAGTCACCAGTAGCTTCCATAAAATTAGTCAGGCATGGATTATAGTAGCCACTAGTGGTCATCATCGTTTTCCTCCACGTCACTAGCATGGTTATCATCTTCAAACACTTCACCATCAATATCCACTCGAGTAAAGCCTTCAAAATCGTCATTGGAGTCCTAATAAAAAAAAAAACCTCCTGAATAAAGGCTTCGTTGGATGGTGATGCGTCCATTTTTATTTACAAAAAAATTAATGTGGGTTTAATCTGTATTACACCTCATGCAGAGTCTAGAAGAATTCAAAATGGTGTTTGAAAACGGAAGTTTAACCCTGTCCCAAACCACTAGTGGGCAATTTCCAGCTAAAATACCAGAAATAACAGTTGACAAGTGTTTATAGTAACCATCTCAAAGTGACAGAGTGCGTCTAGAGCAGCAAAGGGAAAGAATTTTATGGCGACAATTTTCTCATCCATCACGATAAAGGTTAAAACCAAAAATTAATTTTTGTTTACAAATGTGTCAAAATGGTTGATTGCAATAATTTTACTGAAAGTAAAAAAAGATTCATCAATATATTTTTTTATTTGAAATACACCAGAGTATTTTGCTTACTGAAAATAAATTTAATCATTTAGCTTTTAATTAAAGCTAAAAAACAAAGCTTCAAGAATGCTTTTACCTTTTTAAAAATTAATTTTAAGCTTTAGATATTGAAAATTAGTGGATAACATTGTCTAAAATTAAATATTCATATCAAAATCAGAAAAAATATTTTATTTATAATCCGACAATAAATCTAAAAATATGCAAGACTGAGTTTTAAATCAAAATAAATTGAAAATATACATGTATATGTCAAGAAATTCCTTTTTTGCTGGTTAAAAAAAAAAAAAGAAAAAAAAAAGCAAGCTTTTAATAACCAAATATGTGTTAATCAACTGTGATTTAACCATGACCAAGCTATGTTAAGAAAAAAATAAAATTTGAAACAATTTTTTTTTTTACCTGTTGAAGCTCATTACTGTTTTTTTCTTTGAGTGCCTGGAGCAGTGCTGCTCCACGGCCACCACGCCCAAATCCCTCCATTGGTTACTCTGCAAAGAACAAAAAGCATAGATATAAAAATAACTGTCTGAGATTCAAGAAAAAAAGTAAAAATGTTCTTTTTTTGTAGTAAAATTAAAAAAAAAAAAAAAATCTTTTTATAATTATAAGCACCCTAAACTACCTTTAGTTTACAGTGTGACCATGTATCAAAAGTAGTGACATTTCTTTCCATTTCAACTGCTGATGTGTTTATTTGAGGCTATTTTCATGAAATTAGTACATAAAAAAAAAAAAAAAAAAAAAAAAAAAAAAAAAATACAATTATTTTTCATGTGCAATGATTATTTTTTTATTTCACACTTTTTTAAATTGTAACTATTCCAATGATGGACAGAGATTTTCCACATTTTCAAAATTAATGATTTGATAGTGTTTCATTTTTTTTTTAAATTAGTTTCACTCTTGTCTACACATAGTAAAATAGTCCCATCTTAAAGAAAAAAGGAGGCTTGTCAGTTTGGTGGGTGAACCATAAGTTTTGAAGTTGTCTTTCACAAAGACTAAGTTGAAAACTTAAGTGGATGAAATACCAGAGTAATTCAGCCATAATTTTTTTTTTTTTTTTACTCCTTGTAGAACAATATTTTGTTTTTAATAATCAAATCTGTCCCCACAAACTTTTTTGATGTCAACGAACACCTGTCACTTTCATAATGCTTGTTGTAGTAGAGACTTTGCAATTGCAAATACAGCTATAGTACGCCACTGAATAGTACTTGCTCGATAATAGTCACTCATAAAGTAACCACTGAGTACCATCTGTATAGAGGATAGAGTAAAAATAGCGATCTGAATAGTAATAGAGTATAGACTAGAAAGAGAGATCAATTAGACATCATGCAACTTCCTATTTATGCATTTCCTCCATGGTCATGTGGGCTACTTAATTCAATAATGAGATCGCCTGTGTTTGCTCACTGGTGATCTATGTTCAAACTCAAGTCTCAGTAGCGATACTTTATTTCAATATAAACACAAATCAAAAAGAGGGTATACTGCATTCATGTCATGCAAAACAGTTGACACATCAAAATTTGTATTGCTGACTGAGTGATTTGAACATTGCCAGTTAAATCTTTTTCATATTTTAATGACTAGCAGCATGGCTCGGCGTTGCCCGTGCTTGATTCAAAAATCATACAACTCAAACAGCAATCGCTATCACTTAACTTAAAATATTTTTGCTCTTCCTTGCCTTTAAAGGGGTGCCCTTTGCTACATGCCTTATTTCTTGCCTATCTCACACTGCAAATTTTTCAAAGCTCTATACTAAACATTTAATCTGTTATGAAAAAAGAACTAAACAAAATGAACACAAAACGATCAGCTTTAAAAAAAGGACTCGTAACTGGAAAAACCGAATGAAAAAAAAGATGTTAACAAACACTTTTTTTCACCCAACCCAGTTCTGCGGAATCAGAATCAACATTGAGTTTAAGCAAGCGAATGAGCCAATTGGAGTAAAGTGCCATGCAGATTTAAATTTTTCCCATTTGTGATGAATGCAGCTATCAATTTTTTTTGCATGCTACCATGCTAGTTAACATTCATGTCAGTCAGCTGTTGGCTCTCAAGCTGGCCAATAGAATCTTCCTGCCTATTTGTGGCAGCCAGCTATAGGCTCTCACTCTGGCCAGTAGAAAATGGCCGCAAACTACATGAAAATTGCCGTAGAAGCATGAAAAAAAATCGATTATTTCCACTATCGATGGGAGTTGGGAAATGCGAAGTCAGTCTTGGTCTTCCCGCTAACTTAGAGCATGTGCATGTAAATTTTGGTGCAAATCCATTGAAAATTTCGGCCATGCATTCGTTACACACACACACACCCTGTCTTTTATAGATAGAGATGCTTTTTGGTGTCTCAGGTATTCTTTTTTATTCTCCAAGAAAAAAAAAAAAAAAAAAATGAAATAAAATTTTGCTCATTGTCTGCTGTTAAAAAAATTAAAATAGAACTTTTAATGGTCATTTAAAGTACTACTACAAACTTACTGAAGAAAACTTTAAAATAATTTAAATTCCTTCTTTGAAGTTAAATGTTTTTATTTGCAAGAAAACAGACTAAAACTTATTTGTAAAATTCTTTCTTTTTTTTTTTCTTTTACTTATTTAAATATGCTTTTAAGACATTTAAAATATATCCATCTTCACAAAACTGTGTGTGTCAGATGGCATTTTCCCCTCCCTAAGAGCAAGAAGGTCCCGTGCGAAGTCAGCGGATTTGGAGTCCCCATTCAAGTAGGCACGCATGTTCGTGCTCAGTTTAAGAGTCTCCATGTGGCGCCAAAGGGCAGGACTTCAGGCAGGCACGGACAGCATCAGCGCATGTACCTTTAAGAATAACAGGAGGAGAAGGGTTACTCCACCCATGGGATCGAAGGAATCGCAGATGTCTTGGAGATTTTAGTCAAGTGCCTTGACCAAAATGACACAGATGCGAAGTTACGCCATTCAAAGAAGCTCGAAGCTGGCTAATGTTTTCAAGCCGTTGACAGTGTACTTCAGAGTTTTCTGCAGCCCTGATAGATGCAGTAGAGCAGGCATTTATAACGTGACGAACAGTGGTCTGTGCAGTGCTTTCTAAGGCTCTGGCAAATGCGGTGGATAGGGCATTTTTAAAGCGACGATGAGCAGTTTCTTGGGGTTGTTCCGAAGCTCTAGAGGCAGCTGTAGCCCTAGTATTCCTATGGCAATGTGAAGTTGTTTGTTCGAGGCTTTCTAAACCCCTGGAGCAAGCTTTGGCGATGACATCCCTCAAATGACGAAGGGTTTTCTGTGCTGGGGCCTGTGAAGCCCTCAACCTAGCCACGTGGACTGCGCCCTATGAATTCTGAAGTGAACGTTCTTCAACTTGCGCGGCATGCGGACATCACTGAAGCCAACCTTTCAATCCGTGAAGCGGCGCTTTCCGTAGATAAGTGAGCAGCTGAGCTCTCAGGCCATCCGTGAAAGATGCAAAGAAGTCTGTTCAGGGTTTCACTGAGCCTTTGCTGCTCTAGCAGCGGAAGCAGTTTAAGGTCCGTCACATCCCAAAAAGTTTCCTCCTTTTAGGTGGCATCAAACGGTAAAAAAAGCGTCAAAGAGGGTTCAGCTTAACAAGAGATTTCAACAAATCCAAAAATGGAATAACTCACTGCTAACGTGAGACACAAAAAGGGGAACATCCAGTAAAATGAGTTCAGATGTTACTAAAGGGGAGCTCAAAACTAAAAAAGTGGAAATTTAAAAAGGTAAGCCAAGGTAAATCCAAAAAGGAAATGGGGTTTTAGTACAATTGGCTAACGTGTAGGGGTTGGGTTGGAACTATAAAACAAAAAAAATGCTAGAACACGTAATCAACAACTTGCTGTGTCTGAAGTTGGCGAATAAAAATAAGCCAAGCATGCGTGGCACTTAATGGCAACAATAAACATAAAAGTGTGAAAACGCCACGCATCAGTCCGTAGAGGGTGGTTGACCTTAAGTGCACTTACACTTAAGCTGACAAGGAGAGTGAAAGCGAGAAAGAGAGAGAGACGTGTCCACCCTCTATTAAACCCGTCGGCCTGTGAAAGAGGAAATCACGGTAGATATCACTGTCATTAAAGGAGGGGGAAAGAATCGGTAAGAGTGACCGTGGCCTCCCCCATACAAACATTAGGTGAATGAAGAGAGAGTGACAATGCCCACTCTCTCTTAGCGAATATTGCGTATCCTGTTGCGTTAGTGCATGTATGGAGGCCATCTGTAATGGGAGGAGGGGGGGATGACCCTGGCACCCGAAAAGGCACCCACGTGTGGACAATTATTGAAGTTTAAAGTCAATTATGAGTCGAGGTCCGCTGACAAAATGACGAAAATTCTCGTAAACCCCGAAGCAAGACACAGACCGTCGTAAAAGACTTCGCCGGCAGAAAAAAAGGAATTAAGCAGAAAAGTCGAGTACAAGGTAAGTACTGTGTTCTTTCCTTAATAATTATCATCTTCGAAATATTGAGTCCGACTAACAAGAAGCACGTCGTTTGTTTTTGTTTTTTGTCTATCAGATTTTTTACAGCAGCATTTTAAAATTATTTCTTAATACTTTCTTTTAAATATTGAATTAATTTCAAACAGAACCAATTCCTTATAGATGCCTTGTACCAAATTGCAAAAAAATTTATAAAAACGGCCCTAAAGTACGTGGAATTATCTTTACCTAAAGATAAAGAATTATCCGATGTTTGGATTTGAACAATCAGTAGAGGTCGTTGTTTTTTTTGGGGGGGGGGGTCACCTGCTAAATTCAGCAGAACGAGTATTTTTTTTTTTTTAATTAAAAAAAATAAGTAAATTTTATTGAAACTTTAATGGTAAAATTAATACCATGTCTTTGTGAATCATAACAAAGTTAATAAGACATTTTTTTTATGAAAAACCCAAACTCAAACAAAAACATTGTTTTCAATCGTTATGAGTCTACTGATTGAATAGAATTTCATTATAAACAATTGTCTTGCAAATGGAATTTTTAAAGCATTCTGAATGTAAAAATAAAGAAAAAAATGTGCTAGACAATAAGAAACACTACCTGCCAAAAAAAAAAAAAAAGAAAAAAAAAAAAAAAAAAAAAAGTGAAGTTTTGTTGAAATCGGTTGAAAAATGTAGGAAATCCGATATATATAAACACACACACAAAAACAACCTGGGTTTTATAATAAGTATAACTCGATATGAGTTGTCCCCTTTCATTCTCGTGATACCTCTTAATTGTGTTTTCAAATTGATTTCGTTCTTGTTTACAATTGTGTTTTTCCAATTTTTTCTCTGTTAGAACAACCGAAAGGTAATTTTACGTAGTCCTGTGAAGTTTTGTTGAAAAATGTAGGAAATCCGATCCAATATATAAACATACAGACACACACACAATCTGCCTTTTATAATAAGTAAGATGAAACAACTGTCATGACCACAGTATTTTGAATGTAATTGCAAGCATTTGTAGGGAGTCATTTCTC